GAAGGGGAGTTTTATATTGTTTTAATGTTTTTATTGTATTTCAATCTGTTTTAATGGAGTCGTTCCTGGCCATGTTGACGGTTGAGCTACCTGGGGAGCACGTGGGCGCTGCCATTGGGGTGGTCATGGGCAATGGACGTTACAGCGGTGGGGATTTAATGTGTCCACGTAGAAGAAGGAGAGAAAGTTGGCTGACACCTGTCCCTCCTTCTGGTTTTGTCCCCAGCCAGAGGGTTCCAGGTAGTCTTGTCAACTGCCCCTCAGGCCTGACGGTGCTGTTGCTTAATGCCAAGTCGGTCCACAATAAATCGTCCCTCATCTATGACCTGATTGTGGATGAGGGGGCCAATCTGGCTTGCACAACAGAGACCTGGGTGGGAGAGGAGGGGGATGTCGCCCTCTCTCAAATGTGCCCGCCCGGGTATCTAGTTCAGCAACGTCCACGCCTGGAGGGAAGGGGAGGGGGGATTGTTTTGGTTTACCAAGCCTCCATCTCCCTCACGGGGCTTCCAGTCCCTTTGAGGCGGGGCTAGTGTGCCTCTACTTGGTGTTGGGTGACCCAGACAGACTGGGGATTCTGTTGGTATACCATGCACCCTTCTGCCCAACAGACTCCCTGCCTGAACTGACGGAGATCGTCTTGGACCTGGTGTTGAGGACTCCCAGGATGTTGGTCCTGGGGGACTTCAATCTCCACACTGAGACTGGTCTGACCGGGGCGGCTCAGGACTTCAAGGCCTCCATGATGGCCATGGGGCTGTCTCAACATGTCACAGGCCCGACCCATGAACGTGGACACACTCTGGACCTGGTTTTCTCGACGGGGCAGTCTTCCTGAGGGTGGTCTGAGGGTGAGGAATTTATGTCTGACACCCCTGTCATGGTCAGATCACTTCCTCGTGAGGTTTGTGCTTGATAACAGCCTTTCCCTCTGTAAAGGTGCAGACCTGATTGTGTGGGTCTGCCCCCGGAGCTGGATGGATCCGGATGGATTCCTGAAGGCCCTGGGGGAGTTTCTGGCTGACAAAACTGGTGCTCCTATCGATGCCTTGGTCGAGCTATGGAATGGGGAAATGACCAGGGCTATTGACATGATCGCTCCTAAGCATCCTCTCCCGCCAGGCAGAGCCCACTCTTCCCCTTGGTATACACCTGAATTGCGGGCGATGAAGTTGGTTGGGAGATGTCTAGAGCGTAGGTGGAGGAAATTACGGGATAAATCTGACCAAACACACTTAAGAGCCTATTATCGGGCCTATGCTGTGGCGGTGAGGGCGGTGAAAAAGAAATTCTTCTCCGTTTCCATTGCCTCCTCACAATGCCATCTGGCGAAGCATTTTCGGGTGATACAAGGGCTGGTTCATCCTGGCCCTAAGAAAGATCCAGTTCCACCCTCGAAGGCTCACTGTGATGACTTTGCCAAGCGTTTCAGGGAGAAAATCGCTCAGATTCATCACAAGCTTGACTCTACTATTGAACCAGATTCTACTGAGTAGATGCCAACGACGCCGTCGAGTCCACAATTAATGGATGAATTTCACTTGTCGCGGCCTGATGATGTGGACAAGGTGCTTGGACGAGTATGTCCCACCACTTGCCTATTGGACCCTTGCCCATCTTGGCTAATTAACAACACCAAGCACAGGATAGGGACCTGGATCTTGGAAGTGGTTAACACCTCTCTGAGGGACGGCAGGGTACCTGCCCCTTTAAAGGAGGTGGTAGTCAGACCAGTCCTGAAGAAGGCATCACTGGATCCAGAGATGGCCACAAATTATAGACCAGTGGCCAACATCCTGTTTCTGGGCAAGGTGTTGGAGTGAATGGTGGTGGGACAACTCCAAGCACTCTTGGATGAAACTGATTATCTGGACCCATTTCAATCCGGCTTCAGACCTGGGTACGGTACTGAATCTGCCTTGGTCGTCCTGTACGATGACCTGTGCAGGGAAAAAGACAGGGAGAGTGTGTCCCTGTTGGTTTTCCTGGACCTTTCAGTGGCTTTTGATACCATCAACCAAGGTATCCTTCTGGAAAGGCTAGTGGGACTGGGGGTTGGAAGCACTGCTTTGCAGTGGTTCCACTCCTATCTCAATGGCCGATTCCAGAAGGTGATGCTGGGGGACTATGGCTCTGCGCCATGGCAGCTATGCCATTGAGTACTGCAGGGATCCATTTTGTCCCCTTTGCTATTTAACATCTACATGAAACCTCTGGGAGAGGTCATTAGGAGGTGTGGGCTGTGGAATCATCAGTACGCTGATGATACTCAGCTCTACCTCTCGTTCTCTACCAATCCAGGTGAGGCAGTGGCTGTACTGAACCGGTGCCTGGCCGAGGTAATGGGCTGGATGAGGGCCAGAAACTGAAGCTCAGTCCAGACAAGACGGAGGTCCTGTTGGTTGGTGGATCGGGCTTCGGGGAAGGGGACCTGAACTTAGTCCTGAATGGGGTTGCACCCCTTCTTAGGGACAAGGTCCACAGCTTGGGAGTGCTCCTCGACCCAGAGCTTTCACTGGAAGCTCAGGTGACAGCGGTGGCGAGGAGTGCTTTCCTTCAGCTTCGGCTGATCCATCAGCTGTGTCCCTACCTGGAGAACGACTGTCTGGCGACAGTGAAACACGCATTGGTGACTTCCTGACTTGACTTCTGTAATGCACTCTATGTGGGGCTGCCCTTGAAGACGGTCTGGATACTTCAATTGGTTCAAAATAGAGCTGCCAGGCTGCTGACAGGGACTAGGCGTTATGTTCACATGACTCCAGTTCTCCGTCAGCTTCACTGGCTCCCTATTGAAGTCCAGGCCCAATTCGAGGTGTTGGTGATGACCTATAAAGCCCTAAATGACTTGGGTCCTGGTTACCTGAAGGAGCGCTTACGTCCATATATGCCCGCCCGCCCCTTAAGATCAGCAGGAGAGGCCCTTCTCTGGGAACCCTCCGTGAAGGATATTAGGAGGGTGAGTACCTGGAGGAGGGCTTTCTCTGCAGTGGTGCCCAGTCTATGGAATGCGCTCTCCAGAGAGGTCCGCCTGGCACTGTCGTTATTTGTTTTTCGGCGCCAGGCGAAGACCTTTTTATTTAAACGTCATTTTAATTGCGAATATTATTTATTTATTTTACATCTTTCGCCAGGTCATCTCAAATTATACTGTTTTTATATTGTTATTATTTATTTATTGTTGTGAGCTGCCCCGAGGCTTCGGCGAATGGGGCGACATAGAAGCTTCCTAAATAAATAAACTGATGCTAGGGATTGATGAGGAATCCACTTTGGGGGTGGGAATTCATTGGATCTCATGGCTCAGCTTCCCAGTCCCCAGCCTACCTTCCTGCAGCCCTGAGTCTGCCATGATGCCAAGTTCACTGAGCGTTCATGGGGGTCCCTGCTCGGGACTGAGTCCAAGTGGCACTCCTCTCCCACGCACGCGACTTGCGGACTTTGCATGTGCTGCACATACAGGAAGGTTGCTAGGTTGCTAGCGTCCTTCTGGAGTTCTGGTAGCAACCATGGACTTCATCTTGGTTAAGCTCCCTTCCTAAGCACAAGAAAGAAGTCCAACAAAAGGAAGAAGGGATTCCACAGGATCATCACAATCCCTGTTGCTTCTATCATCATCATCATCATCATCATCAGGCAGTGGTATGCATGTCAAGTCAGCCACAAAGCTGAATTTCTTTTCGGACAATCCATTTATCACTACCATAAATATGCAGGAAGTGGACTGAAGTTTTCCTTTAAAAAGATGCTAACCTTACAGAGATAGAGTATAATCCCAGTTGGCAAATCAGGAAGTAAGTGCACTGTTTTCCCAGCAAAGCACATTAACAGCACTTCTCAAACTCCTGAACAAGCTCTGATCAAGAAGAGTGGCAGTGCCTTGTAATACCCTCACCATCACCCGCAAAGGGCACAGCTGCTCACTCCAATCTATAGTGTGTTCCTAAATTTCCAAAATGTTCTTCTTCTGGATGCAAAGCACTGACTAAGGAGCTGTAGGCAACATGATCAAATTTCACCAGGCAGGAAAGAGACATGTGCAAGAATACAATGAGAAGAAATACAAAATTGCATAAAGCAGGAAGTGTTCCAGAATTACCATGAAGACACAGTAATAGGATAAAGCTTCAATGGGCCTTTTGTATTTGTTGGAAGGGGAGCATTGCTCAGCTGTTGTTCCACTTTGCATGCCAATGGTCCCAGGTTCAAATGCAGGCACCTCTAGTTGAGGGGAGGGTGCTGGTGGCTGGGAAGGAACTCCCTGGAAAGCTGCTGCCAATCACTATCGATAATACTGAGCTCAATAGACCAAGGTCTGCATAAGTGTTCCTCCTAGATAGTCAAGAGAAGCAATGGAGTCTGCTCACACAAACTGGGAGAGGCCACAATCTCCACATTCAGTCCTCAGGGAAAGGACTCCTGCAGTGTCAGAACATGGCTGACACTGCAGGCCTTGAGCACTAGCCAGGGGTGCATCTTGTATGAATCCAGTGTGACTCAAGCCTCTCTCCCTGTGCATTAAAATGGTGCCCCAGATGCGCAGTGTGGTGAAGGCCAGTATAATGTGGATAAACAAATCATTGCACTCAAGTACTTAGTAAAGGACTAAGTATATCTTTATGGGGACAGGGCGTAATCATGTACATTGAATGGGGACAGGGCGTAATCATGTAAAGCCAACTCACAGGGATACAAGAACTTCAGTAAATACCTTCCACCCATCCTCCTCTGTCCAGTCTTACATTTTAATGGAAAGTTTCTCAGTTTCTCAGAGAGCAGAAGGACAACTCTCTCTTTAGGACCAGACTTGTAAATGAAAAGCTGATACATTTGCCAATTTAAGTGCCAGCAGTCTATTGTTCAAATAGAGTCAGACTCCATGCTTTATTTTGACTTTAGCATCTAAAAGCATAGTCATCTTCCACTAATTGATCTGGAGTCTGAGTTCATAGGACAGCCACAACTTCTGAAAAAAAGAGCACAAGGAATAAAAACTGCTGTTATGTTCTTTTGTGAGGGGCAGGGGGGAGCCACTCTTTTCTCTGAGTAAAGTGCCTTTTTGGCCCATCAAAATGTTTTCTTTTTGGTCTGTTTTCTACTGTCCATTTGATGGAAGGTCCTGATGGAAATGGTGCCTGGCACTCCTCATCCTCTGGCTCAAGTTCCTGGATATCAGTTTCAAGGGCCACTCTCTGATGTGGCTTTGGTGGTAACAGCGGCCTTTGTCTTCTGGCTATTTCATCCTCTTCATTTGTTCTTCTTCTTTGACCTGTAAAACCAGCTGATTTGGTTCTTGAATGCAGCTGCTTCATTGGAAGTAACTCTTGCTGTGGCCACTTTCTTCGGTGTGAATGTGCCCCTGGCTGGGACTCTGAACCAAACTTCATGAACACAGATTCAGAGTCACTGCTGCAGTCCCCTAGAAACAAGAAAGAAGAGAAAATGGGACAGCCAGTTATGGGGTGACAAGGTGCCCTACTTTACTGAGCGCAGGTCTCTCCTTGAAGATTTGTCATTGAACAATTGCCTATTATTTGAAAGGCTTCCCCAATCTAAGCCCAGTTTAAAGATCAAGAACCATAAGAAGGGAAAGCAAAGGGGCCTTGAAGTTGCCTGTTATAAACTTGGTCAACAGACTGAGAAAGCACACAGGTGCCTGATCCCAGTTTTCCCAGCTGTAGAGAGATATATTGTATTTCTAGCTAAATGAGAAAAAATGATTCTGCAATGTGAGTTTATGCACATAATTCAACAGATGCAGTCAGTATGCAACTATATGTCTGCTTTCTTCTTCTTTTTTTAGGTGATAAACTGTATATATGTCCACCCTAATCAATGACCACACCTCCATGGATGTCCTTCTGAAATACCAAGAAATGTCTCATTAATGAGTGAACATAGCACAGTGTAAGCAATAAGTATGCTTATACTCAGGGCAGAGTTGAAAATTGGATGGAGGGATATGGCTGAATATTCTCAGGGGGTGGGGGCTCCAAAATCCTCCAGAGTTTCAGAGGAGCTCAAAACAAGTCCAAACACCTCAGCTCCCAGTGACCTCACTGTTTATAACCCTCCTTCACTAAGAATGTTGGTGAACTTGAGATTTACAGTGGTGAAATGGGCAATGCCCACATAAGGTTATGTCATAACATGGCTATCCCAGAAATTTTTGCACTAACCTTGTTCACATGTATTGGCAATTCGTGGGTTGGTTAATCTGTGATTTGCTTAGCTACAGAAGGAACAAGCAAGGATGTTTCTACTTTCTACTGGGAAACAACCCAGGAACACTTGTTGGGATGTCTCCTGGGTTGTTGGGGATTTTTAACCCAACAACAAATAATTCTTTAACTTGCAGGTAGTGATGGCATGAGAACTATTTGTTCTTTTTTGCCACTGGACATGCAATCTCAAAGAATTCCTTTTCAGACCACTTGTTTGCCATGATGCAATTTCCTTATAAAACTATCTTTGGCAATAGAAAGTCAGCTAGTGAACAACGCAAGACAAAACCTCTAAGGTAGGCAGATCTGTAATTACTGAATTGTTTTGGTTACCATTGGAAAACAGGATGGGTTTCAGGACATGTATAATTACCAGGACTTTGGGTCCAAAGAATTTTAGCTTCAGGGCCCTTTGATAAACCTTGTGTCAGAGGATAAGACTTTCACCTTCATATTTGGATCACATTGCAGAGTTTCCTAAGGAATCCCACTCCTTTAACACATTAAATGCTTTAGAGCTGTGTAGCATCTCTAGCCATTTATACCAGGTCTACTATCCTTCCAAATCATGCTTTGTCTGCTTCTATTGAGAGTGATAAGATCCATAGCAGAAGGGCCTTGACAAGGATCCACAACCAGATTAAAGCCTCAACTAAGGAGGTTTGCTCAAGTTCAAATGCATACATGTATGGCAAAAAAGACATCGATTCTTTCACATATCTTTAGGAAAGGGTGTAGTAGTCCAAGTCTGAAAAGGGCTGTAAAGACTACACCCCTGTATAATATATAAACACTAAAATTATACAGCTGCTTTTGTGATCACATTGGTTCATATAAAGTCTGGGATATGAGAATAACAATGCAACCTCTTCTCTTCCACTCCATATCAACCTATGGCTGCTATCTTTTTATGGAAAAATATCCTGTGTTTTTAAAAAGTGCAAAACAGACAGAGATCCCCATTATAATATCCCCCATTTATCTGTCCCCATAATAAAACAGGTATCACCTGTTAATTTCTGCCTGTTAGTTGAAGGTTAAAGACAGCTTTTAAGATGGGACCAATTTCTATCCCCAAGAGCACCAACCTTGTCAGGTCTTCAAAAGACAAAGACTAAAAGTCAGCTGCCCTGCTTAAGATCTACTAAATTAGAGAGATTGCAAAGAATGACAATAAAGAGGGTGTGTTTCTCTAAATCAAACTTCCCCAGCCTGGTATCCTCCAGATGGCACCAGCATGCTTGACCCCAGAGATGCCACTACAGCTTCCAGCATTCTTTTTCATTGGCCATGATGACTGAGGCTAATAGGAGTTGAAGCATGGATGGTACCATGTCAGGTGAAGTGGGTCTAAATGAAAGCCGAACATTTCATGGTTGCAATGGCACAATCCCACTGACCACATCTTATCCATACCAAATCCAAAACCACCCTTAAAGGGAATGGACAGTTCATAGCTATTGTAACCTCAGATATAATATTAAATGTGCTCTGCATTGACAACAACTTGTTTTTCTTCTAGGGTTTTGATTAAAAAGTGTTACCTGTTAGATCATCATCATTCCTAGCTTCACTTCGAACTGGTTGAGCATTGCGAAGGGGTAAAGACAAGTAGCGCATACTTTTCATGGCTGCCTGTGGAGAGAAATGTTGGAGAAAATGATACACATCTAGTATCATGTATTATACTTTATTAGATTTCTCTGAATGCAAGAATTGGTGGTCACATCTAAAATCAGTACCTAAGGAAGTGATTGCGAAGTCTGAAAAAAGTGCTTATTGAAATATTGCTTTTTTCGTTTTTTAAAAATCTTCAGATAAATTCATATAAATGAAAGAAAAAAATCAGTCCAGGGCACTGAAGTATAGTTTACAACAGGGGCAGATAAGAACTGAATGGTAGATCTCTGAGTAAAGGATTGAAAGCATTTGGCAAGGTTTACCAAATGTTTAGCAATAGGAACTTAAACTGAAAATCTTTGCAATGTATCTTCTCTATCTAGTCTTGCTCTAACTATTTATATCTTCACTTTATTTGTATAATCTGAGAACGGATTGTATGCCTTTGACCAGGTCTTTGTCTAGCCTTATTAGCCACTGTTTTGTGTTATAATCCCTGCATTTGTATACACTCCATGCTGCAAAGGAGGCAGGAGGCAACTGATTCCATTGCCACACTCCATGTTTTGCATCTCGCTTGCATTATTGTATCTCTACAGCCTAGTAAAAAGTAAAGGCACTCCCTGAATTCTCATTTTTCCTAAACAATATTCTAGAAAACAGAGGCAACTCATGCTGAATACTCCAAGGTCATCCCTTCTACTTGTAGGATTACATATTTTTAACAAAAACAGCACAGATTTTTGTGGTACCTTAAGGGCTTACAAATTTTTAAAAGCTATTGCCAGAATCATATTATTGTTGTTGCTGTTGTTGTCGTCATCAGTTGCTGCAATACTTGTTGGTGTTAAAAAAATATGTAATTCTACAGCAGAAAGGATTGCTTTGGAGTTGTCTCTGTTGTTTACTGCAGTGTAAATGAGGAATGGGTGGATTTTGTGGCTGATTTTCTCCAGCAGACTAACCAGGTCCCTGAGCTTCCTAGATTCAGACATACACTGAAACCTGCTCAGGGTTAGACAATTTGCCCCCCT